GTGTGTCTGTGTGTGTGTGTGTGTGTGTGTGTGTCTGTGTGTGTGTGTGTGTCTGTGTGTCTGTGTGTGTGTGTGTGTGTGTGTGTCTGCAGTGTAATAACTTGCTGCCTGAGCAGTTCTGTAAATAAAAAATCCTTTAACCCTGTTGGAGCGCAGGAATTCAGACACACACACACACACACACACACACACAGTCAGGTGAACGCCCTGCAGCATTAATAATGTGTTCAGATTCTCCTGGAGTCTCAGGAAACATCAAGAGGTCCTGGAGGAGCTCTGGGGAGTCCTTGATGTCCTTGGGAGGTTTGATGGAACCTGGAGAAAGTTTGAGAAAGGTTCCAGGGGTCCTTAAAGCCCCAGTGAAGGTTTGAGGAGTCCAGAGTGATGAGGTCACTCAGAGGTCACCCAGCTGTCCGTCTCCACTGTCTCCATGACGACCGTCTCTTTATGATCTCTAATTGGATTGGCTGCTAATGGACACACACACACACACACACACACACACACACAAACAGTTCAGGGGTCAGGAGGTCAATGTGTCCTCTGATTGGTTAGTGTCCTGCCCATCAGGAGCCTCTCCCTCTGTGATTGGTTAGTGTCCTGCCCATCAGGAGCCTCTCCCTCTGTGATTGGTTAGTGTCAGAGTGAGCAGGTCAGTGAGAGCCAATCAGAGGCAGAGTGAGGCAGAAGGGGGCAGGTCATTCCTTGAGGAGGTTCCAGACCTTGAAGAGTCCTGGCTGTCCGTCTCACCTTCAGTCTGAACGGCGTCCTGCTGTCAGGTCGCATGACGTCATGTCTGACAGGAAGGCACAGCCATGACTTCATCACCACGGTAACACCTGAGCTGAAATCAGATCTGAGGACAGGAGACAGGAAATGAAACTCAGACACACACACACACACACACACACACACACACACACAGCCAGACTTAGGACAGTCACTGGTGTTGGTGGGCGGAGTCATCCATCACTGGTTTATAAAGCAGCTGATCTGAGTCACATGACTTTACCTCCTCATCAGGAGACGTTACATGAGACACCAGACGAGACTGTGTGTGTGTGTGTGTGTGTGTGTGTGTGTGTGTGTGTGTCCTTCAGACATCTCTTCATTAACTGAATGTTAACGACTACAGTAGAACTCCAGGTGTCCCTGAAGGACAGACTGTTGTCTCTACAGCTGGACTCTCACCTGTCTCACCTGTCTCACCTGTCTCATCTGTCTCATCCTGACAGGCTATTGGTGGGAGCTCCGAGGGAGAAGGCGGAGCCTAATGTTCCAGCCAATCGAACAGGAGGAGTGTACAGCTGTCCGATCACTGCTGACCAATCAGAGTGCAGCAGGATGAAGCTCATAGACCCAGGTGATCTCACCAGACAACACACACACACACACAAACAAAACAACAACACACAGGTGATGCTGTCGTGGTCAGAAGAGAAACAGACTGAAAAACAAACCGTAATACGTTCACTGACATCATGTCACCTGAGAGATGACATCACACCCTCAGGTGACTCTGCCGTCTCAGCTGTTTACTGGACGTCTGACGTCACGTCATGTGACCACTGAATGTCATCCTGACAGTCAGAACTCAGGGCTCGCTGCTCCTGTGATGTTATCTGTGTGCTGGTGCATTATGGGTAGTCCATCCCTCAGAGAGAAGGGACAGCTGCAGTCTGTTTCTGATAACGCTCTGCCCTGAGTGGGCTGTAATCTGTGGTAACCACGGCAACGGCCAATCAGAGGGGTTTATTTTTACACACAGATGAACTGTGTGTGTGTGTGTGTGTGTGTGTGAGACTCTCCTGGGGGGTATTCCATCAAGCAGGCTGAAGGCAAATCCAGGCTTAAATGGCCAAGTCTGGCTAATGTGAGCCAGAGTTCTGTTCCATCAAACTGAGCCACAACTCCGTTCCATCAAGGTGGTTAACCTGAATCCCAGCCTAGTAACCATGGTAACTTATGCTGCCGGGCAATCCTGGTCTGTAGCAGGATTAAGGTGAGGATTAGCTCCATTTATGATCAACAGACAGACACCTAAAAGACAGTTCTGCCAGAGCTTTACACACTCACAACTGTCATGATAAAATAATATGTAGATTATAAAATATATAACATAATTAATTAAAAAAAATTAACTATTAAAAAAACAAATTAAAACGTAACAAAAATAAAATACTTAAAAAAACAACAGTAAAGCCAAAATCAAACTAATAACAACAAAACTATAATTAAATGAAACTGAGGCATTAAAAAAAGATTGTACATGAATATGTGATTGCCCCCCATCCCCACCACACTCTGTTTCCAATTGGCTAGCAAATTCACAGCCAACTAAGGTCAACTGACAACGGCCAGAGAAGGAGAGGGACACACCCAGAGAGACACAGAGACAGAGAAAGATAGAGTAAATTAGGAAATAATGGCATGTCCCTTCATCGAGGATCCTGTTGATGAGGAGGCCCACATTGTCCAGAGCCTTCCAACCACCACCAGCCCCAAGGGTCTTCCAGGACAGGACCAGCCCATTGATACAGACAGACTCCTATCTGTGGGAGAGGTACCGGTTCAGCAGGCAGAGCATAGTGTATCTATGCAGTTTGCTGGAACCACACATTATAACGGTCACACGCTGCAGCCAGTCTCTGACCACTGTGCAGTCAGTCTGTACTGCACTGACGTTCTTTGCTAGCGGTACATTCCTGTATAGTGGTGGTGATGCTGAGAGGCTAAGTAAGGCAGCTGTTTGCAGAGAGGTAAAAAAGGTGTATTTTCTATTCATTTTGATTATTTCTAGCATCACCATACATCATGCATAGGGCTTGATTTGTTCACATTAACATATGATTATCTTTTATATTTATGAATTAACCATGACGCAAAGCAACCACATTAAAATGGGACACACACCACTGAGGTCTGTCTGTTCCTCATCCTATAGCACACTCCATACATTTAAGGGGATTTTCCTTATTTTGATATAATAATTGATAGAGCTCACAGTTGACTCCCACATGATGAGAATTAGATTATTGATTCACTTTCACCTGCATTCACTTAATAGTTTTCCTCATCTCCACTGAACTGATGGATTTGCTAAATGTCATTTTCTACAATCAATAGATAAATGTAATGTGATTATTTCCTATAAACTGATCATTTCAGAAATGTCATAATCTACGATCAATTATGTGATAAATGTGATGATTGAATAAAATAGTTTGATTAAATGCATCATCTGAACTTTACATAGGAATCAAATGTGATAAACAGTCTGTCACTAATATTAATTTACACATGTGGTTAATTTCATTAGGCAGACTTGAACTGTCAAATTTAACAGGTGTTCTTATCTACATATATTTTGTCCCTTTGATGCAGGATTTATAGAACATGATATTATGCTGAAATGCTGAATTTTCTTTGTCACTTACACATTTAGCCTGTCAGCAATATTCCGTCATGCCACCTGCCTTGCTTTATTAATCTGCAGTATTGCCTTTGTTCCTAATCATGTCCTTATAGTCCTCATACACTTCCATAAGGAGCGTTTGCTCCGCCACAGAAAAAGCCTCTGCTCGCTCCTTTCCTTTGCTTTTTGACATTTTGCAACATGTTCGGCACTCGACTAGTTTGGGTTTTTTTTTTTCCCTGGGCGCGTGCATGAGTTGAGGCTTAACAGGTGAGGCTTGAATTAGTTTCAGTTGGAGCCAGCTGATTTCACTTGATGGAACGGGTCGGAGTTAGATTGGGAGGTGGCGTTTAGTCAGACTTCAAGATTACACCTTAGTCTGGATATTCTTAGCTACTCTGATGGAATACCCCCCTGTGCTTCCTGTTTCAGACCTGAACCTGTCTGAGGACCTGATTGAGGACATGTGGTTGGGCGTCTCAGTGGCGAGTCAGGGCCGACCTGGAGGACGGGTCCTGGTGAGTCTGGGGTCACCATGACGACACTATGACACTATGTCTGAACATAGACTGAACTCAACAGGCATGTGTTAGATACAGGCCTGTCTCAAATACAGAACTCTGGACATGTTGTAGTTTCTTCAGAGTTTTGGATGATGAGGCGTCACAGTCCAGATCACTGCTGTACCTTTAATGCCTGGTTCACACTACATGATATCAGCCTGATGCAGCGACATACGGCGTGAGCTCGGCTCGTGAATGACGATGAGTGTCGTACACAATAATCCGTGGTTTCACCCTGTGTAGTGTGTCATAGTAGACGACAACCGACGCCACGTCTGAGACGCCTCACGACGTCCTGAGAGAAAGTCTAACATGTTTGATTTCCTTTTTGTCTTCCATGACTTCTCCCGTCACAGCCGTCACTGTGACCAATAGGAACACAGAGCGATCTGTTGCCGTGGAAACTGTAGGACAACAACAGCCCTTTATTTATTATTCCCTCTGTGTTTTTATATTTTTACAAATTTTATATTTTTTTCAAACGCAACACTTCCTGTTCTGTTTCAAATTAAAAGCCCATTATAACTTCGGTGGAGAGTCCCTTCATTTTCTAAAAAGGCTTTTATTGTGAAACATTTGCAGGAACTTCCTGTGGAGGATTCAGTGACTGTCATAGTTTGTATGTGGTATCTGGACTTCTCTGAGTTTTTCAGACAGCAGAACTGAGACGTCAACAGTCCACCTGCTGCTCTGAGAGACACTGAGACAACTGTGAGACAGCTCAGTGTCTCTCAGAGGACTCATGTCAAACCACAGCTGAAGGATCTGAGACCACGGGGTCAGATTACAGAGAATACCTGAAGATAAATGAAGCGACTCGTCAGACGGTGAAGTGTGAAGTGATTTTATCATCTGAGGGTTCAGACAGCTGCAGCTCCTTCAGTTGTCCTCTGCAGACGTCCTCCTTCCTCTTCCTCTCCTTCTTCTTCTCTTCCTTCTTCCTCTTCGGCTCCTTCTTCTTCTTCTTCTTCTTCTTCTCCTCCTCCTCCTCCTCCTCCTGCTCTGTCTCCTTCTTCTTCTTCTTCTTCTCCTCCTTCTCCTTCTTCTTCTTCTTCTTCTCCTCCTCCTTCTCCGTCTCCTTCTTCTTCTTCTTCTTCTTCTCCTCCTCCTGCTCCATCTCCTTCTCCTCCTTCTTCTTCTTCTCCTCCTCCTGCTCCGTCTCCTTCTTCTTCTTCTTCTCCTCCTCCTTCTCCTCCTCCTTCTTCTTCTTCTCCTCCTCCTGCTCCGTCTCCTTCTTCTTCTTCTTCTCCTCCTCCTTCTCCTCCTCCTTCTTCTTCTTCTCCTCCTCCTGCTCCGTCTCCTTCTTCTTCTTCTTCTCCTTCTCATTCTCCTTCTTCTCCTCCTCCTTCTTCTTCTCCGTCTTCTTCTTCTCCTTCTTCTCCTCCTCCTCCTCCTTCTTCTTCTTCTCTGCTTAATTAAGGTTTTTATTTCTCTCCACTGTAGAGTCAATGTAAAATACACTGTTACAAACCTGAACCAGAACCTGAACCAGAACCAGAACCTTTAATGAATCAGCAGGAAACAGTTTCTTTGTTTTCACCTGATCAGCTGTGAGGGTCATAAGGACAGAGGGATGTCGTATGCTGTAAAGCCCTGTGAGGCAAATTGTGATTTGTGATATTGGGCTTTATAAATAAAATTGATTGATTGATTGATTGACCTGTTGTTGGTCTGAATCAGCTCCGTCTGTCTCTGCAGCCACCTGTCTGTTTGTTCAACAGCTCGCTAGGCTAAACTAAGCTAAGCTAAGATAAAAATAAGATAAGTGAAGCGAAGGTAAGCTAAGATAAGAGAAGAGAAAATAAGTGAAGCTACATAAGATAAGAAAAAAATAAGCTAACATAAGCTAAGATAAGCGAAGCTAAGATAAGCGAAGCTAAGATAAGATAAAAATAAGCTAAGATAAGATCAGCTAAGATAAAATAAAATAAGCTAAGATAAGATAAGCTAAGATAAAATAAAATAAGTTAAGATAAGCGAAGCTAAGGTAAGCTAAGATAAGATAAAATAAGCTAAGATAATCTAAGCAAAGATAAGCGAAACTGAGGTAAGCTAAGATAAGATAAGATAAAATAAGCTAAGATAAGAAAAGAAAACATAAGCGAAGCTAAGATAAGCTAAGATAAAATGAGCTAAGATAAGATAAGCTATGTTTAGCTATTAGCATGAACCTTTTTAAAGAATAATCCATGTGATAGAATAATAGGTAACTATCAGGTGATGTGACGCAACACTTCAGACTGTGTGTTCTTTAACTTGCTAACCATTTAACCAGCTGTCTGACTAACTAGCCCCCCTCCCCTCCCCCTCCTGTCTCCCTCCAGGCGTGTGGTCATCGCTTCATTAAACTCTACGGAGCGTTCAAACTGAGACACATGATTGGCCGCTGTTATCTCCGTGGAAACGACCTGCAGTACAATGAGACAGACATGCACTGGCAGAACCCCGACCAGCCCTGCAGGTAGGTCACATGACACGTGCAGGTCACATGATGTTCAGGTCACATGACACGTTCAGGTCACATGATGTTCAGGTCACATGACACGTGCAGGTCACATGATGTTCAGGTCTCATGATGTTCAGGTCACATGATGTTCAGGTCACATGACACGTGCAGGTCACATGATGTTCAGGTCTCATGATGTTCAGGTCACATGATGTTCAGGTCACATGATGTTCAGGTCACATGATGTTCAGGTCACATGACACATGCAGGTCACATGATGTTCAGGTCACATGATGTTCAGGTCACATGACACATGCAGGTCACATGATGTTCAGGTCTCATGATGTTCAGGTCACATGACACATGCAGGTCACATGATGTTCAGGTCTCATGATGTTCAGGTCACATGACACATGCAGGTCACATGATGTTCAGGTCTCATGATGTTCAGGTCACATGATGTTCAGGTCACATGATGTTCAGGTCACATGATGTTCAGGTCACATGATGTTCAGGTCACATGATGTTCAGGTCACATGATGTTCAGGTCACATGATGTTCAGGTCACATGATGTTCAGGTCACATGATGTTCAGGTCACATGATGTTCAGGTCACATGACACATGCAGGTCACATGATGTTCAGGTCTCATGATGTTCAGGTCACATGACACATGCAGGTCACATGATGTTCAGGTCTCATGATGTTCAGGTCACATGACACATGCAGGTCACATGATGTTCAGGTCTCATGACACATGCAAATCACCTGATGTTCAGGTCTCATGATGTTCAGGTCACATGACACAAGCAGGTCACATGATGTTCATGTCTCATGATGTTCAGGTCACATGATGTTCAGGTCACATGACACATGCAGGTCACATGATATTCATGTCTCATGATGTTCAGGTCTCAAGATGTTCAGGTCTCATGATGTTCAGGTCACATGATGTTCAGGTCTCATGACACGTGCAAATCACATGATGTTCAGGTCTCATGATGTTCAGGTCACATGATGTTCAGGTCACATGACACGCAGGTCACATGATGTTCAGGTCTCATGATGTTCAGGTCACATGATGTTCAGGTCACATGACACACGCAGGTCACATGATGTTCAGGTCACATGACACACGCAGGTCACATGATGTTCAGGTCTCATGATGTTCAGGTCACATGACACATGCAGGTCACATGATGTTCAGGTCTCATGATGTTCAGGTCACATGATGTTCAGGTCTCAAGATGTTCAGGTCTCATGATGTTCAGGTCACATGATGTTCAGGTCACATGACACGCGCAGGTCACATGATGTTCAGGTCTCATGATGTTCAGGTCACATGACACATGCAGGTCACATGATGTTCAGGTCTCATGACACGTGCAAATCACATGATGTTCAGGTCACATGATGTTCAGGTCTCATGATGTTCAGGTCACATGACACATGCAGGTCACATGATGTTCAGGTCTCATGACACGTGCAAATCACATGATGTTCAGGTCACATGATGTTCAGGTCTCATGATGTTCAGGTCACATGACACATGCAGGTCACATGATGTTCAGGTCTCATGACACGTGCAAATCACATGATGTTCAGGTCACATGATGTTCAGGTCTCATGATGTTCAGGTCACATGACACATGCAGGTCACATGATGTTCAGGTCTCATGACACGTGCAAATCACATGATGTTCAGGTCACATGATGTTCAGGTCTCATGATGTTCAGGTCACATGACACATGCAGGTCACATGATGTTCAGGTCTCATGACACGTGCAAATCACATGATGTTCAGGTCACATGATGTTCAGGTCACATGACACACGCAGGTCACATGATGTTCATGTCTCATGATGTTCAGGTCACATGTAAAGGTGTGTCTGTGTGTGTGTTCAGTCACCTGGGTGATGTCAGCACAGAGGTCATGTGTAACATGGGGATTTCTGCCACCATCACTCAGACTGAGGTCATCGTCGGCTCACCTGGAAGCTTCGAATGGCAAGGTGAGTTTCTCTCCCTTCTGTCTGACGCCTGTCCGTCTGTCCAGGTAAACAGGTGTGTGTGTTTCCTGTGTGTGTGTTTTGTAGGAAACGTCCATGTCTCCTGGATGAATCCAGACGTCGTCTTTGATACTCAGAGGAGCTCCTTCCCCAACATGGAGCGCAGGAACATTTATATAGGTGAACTGTCCCTTTAAATCCTCCTCCTCCTCCTCCTCATCACTCAGTGACATGTTGATGTCGTTCAGTTCTGTGTTTCTGTGTCTCTGATAACAAACGTCCATTAATCAAACAAGACAAAGTTAAAACCCAGAACATGGGCGGAGCCAGTGTGAGGTGATACAGGGCTTTTATTTTGAAAGAACGACTTTTAATTTGAAACAGGAAGTGGCCAGCATATACCCATGGACTCATGGACTTTTGTTCCCCATGGCTGATTCACTTACAGACATGGTCCCGTTGTTACAACAACACACCCCTCATCTTTGGCCCCGCCCACTGATCATCTGAGGATTTTAACTTTTCTTCAGTTGATCTGAACAGGAAGTGCTCATCAGTCAGATCACTGAGACACAGTGACATCACTTCCTGTGTCAATACACACTCATATTAACATGAGATCTGTGTGTGTGTGTCTGTGTGTGTGTGTGTCTGTGTGTGTGTGTGTGTGTGTGTGTGTGTCTGTGTGTGTGTGTGCAGGATACTCAGTGACTCAGGCTCGTCGTCTTCTCTCTCAGGACGATGAAACCATAGTAACAGGTGACAACTCCTTTACCTTCATTCTCACTGAGCAGCTGGACTGATGTATTGATTATGGATGTATTGATTGGTGCATTGATTATTCATGTATTGATTGGTATAATGATTATTGGTGTATTGATTGGTGTATTGATTATGGATGGATTGATTGGTGTATTGATTATTGATGTATTGATGATTGGTGTATTGATTGGTGTATTGATTATTGATGTATTGATTGGTGCATTGATTCCAGGAGCTCCTAAGGACAGTAAAGAGGACGCTCGTGGCTCTGTGCTGCTCGCCGTCAAACGTTCAGACGGACTGCTGACTCAGCAGACTCTGCGCGGTGAACAGATGGGCTCGTACTTCGGTAACGTCGTGGCAACCGCTGATCTCAACAATGATGGGTAACGAAATGTTGACAGGTCACATGATTCAAACTGAGGTCACTTCCTGTTTGTCGTCTGCTCCGTCAGAAAACAAAAATCAAACACAGAAAATCGATACTGCGACACATCGTGATATTTTTGTGCGGTGATAACGTCTCACAGCGCCAAGGATCACATTTTATCATATGACCTGATGAAAAGATAATCAGAGACATTCTGTCTGAACACGCTGATGACAAACTCTGAGGACCTTTGATTTGAAACTTAACGTGTGATGTCATATTTCCTGTCATGAATGCAACAGCAGATGATTTCAGATATGATTTATGATCTCATGGCGTTCTGATGACGACAGACCGTCCTTCTGTCCTACAGGTGGAATGACCTGCTGGTGGGCGCTCCTTTTTACTTCCACCGTCAGCAGGAGGCGGGTGGAGCCGTGTACGTCTACATGAACGCAGGAGGTCGCTTTGATCCTGAGCCCAGCGTGGTGCTGAGAGGACCGGCTGGCTCGGCCTTCGGGATGGCTGTTAGCGCCGCCGGAGACCTGAACCAAGATGGCTTCCAGGGTGAGAAACTGAGAATAAATTGATATTACAGAACCACAGAAGAAGAGGCTGCTGACCTGTGTGTGTGTGTGTGTGTGTGTGTGTGCGTTTCAGACTTCGCAGTCGGAGCTCCGTTCCATGAAAAAGGAAGTGTGATGATCTGGAGCGGGAGCAGCGAGGGGGTCACCACAGAGCCCAGTCAGGTGTGACAGTGAACGTAGTGTCTGTATGAGAGTATGTAGATCACATCTGTAACTCCGCCCCCTCTGTCTGCAGGTGATACGGGGCAGCAGAGTCTCTGCGGCGTTCAGTACCTTCGGATACTCTCTGTCTGCAGGACTCGATGTCGACGGCAACAAATATCCAGACCTGCTGATCGGCTCTCTGGACGACACCGTTGCTCTGCTCAGGTGCGATAAACATTTCTGGTCACATGACACGAACTAAAGGGTGGTGAAGCCCCTCTGTGTGGAGTTTGCATGTTCTGACTGAGTTTCCTCCAGGTGCTCCGACATGTTCTCCCTGTGTCAGCGTGGGTTTCCTCCAGGTGCTCCCACATGTTCTCCCTGTGTCAGCTTGGGTTTCCTCCAGGTGCTCTGACATGTTCTCCCTGTGTCAGCGTGGGTTTCCTCCAGGTGCTCTGACATGTTCTCCCCGTGTCAGTCTGGGTTTCCTCCAGGTGCTCTGACATGTTCTCACCATGTCAGTGTGGGTTTCCTCCAGGTGCTCTGACATGTTCTCCCTGTGTCAGTGTGGGTTTCCTCCAGGTGCTCTGACATGTTCTCCTTGTGTCAGCTTGGGTTTCCTCCAGGTGCTCCCACATGTTCTCCCTGTGTCAGCTTGGGCTTCCTCCAGGTGCTCTGACATGTTCTCCCTGTGTCAGCGTGGGTTTCCTCCAGGTGCTCTGACATGTTCTCCCTGTGTCAGCGTGGGTTTCCTCCAGGTGCTCTGACATGTTCTCCCTGTGTCAGCGTGGGTTTCCTCCAGGTGCTCTGACATGTTCTCCCTGTGTCAGCGTGGGTTTCCTCCAGGTGCTCTGACATGTTCTCCCTGTGTCAGCGTGGGTTTCCTCCAGGTGCTCTGACATGTTCTCCCTGTGTCAGCGTGGGTTTCCTCCAGGTGCTCTGACATGTTCTCCCTGTGTCAGCGTGGGTTTCCTCCAGGTGCTCTGACATGTTCTCCCTGTGTCAGCGTGGGTTTCCTCCAGGTGCTCTGACATGTTCTCCCTGTGTCAGCGTGGGTTTCCTCCAGGTGCTCTGACATGTTCTCCCTGTGTCAGCGTGGGTTTCCTCCAGGTGCTCTGACATGTTCTCCCTGTGTCAGCGTGGGTTTCCTCCAGGTGCTCTGACATGTTCTCCCTGTGTCAGCGTGGGTTTCCTCCAGGTGCTCTGACATGTTCTCCCTGTGTCAGCGTGGGTTTCCTCCAGGTGCTCTGACATGTTCTCCCTGTGTCAGCGTGGGTTTCCTCCAGGTGCTCTGACATGTTCTCCCTGTGTCAGCGTGGGTTTCCTCCAGGTGCTCTGACATGTTCTCCCTGTGTCAGCGTGGGTTTCCTCCAGGTGCTCTGACATGTTCTCCCTGTGTCAGCGTGGGTTTCCTCCAGGTGCTCTGACATGTTCTCCCTGTGTCAGCGTGGGTTTCCTCCAGGTGCTCTGACATGTTCTCCCTGTGTCAGCGTGGGTTTCCTCCAGGTGCTCTGACATGTTCTCCCTGTGTCAGCGTGGGTTTCCTCCAGGTGCTCTGACATGTTCTCCCTGTGTCAGCGTGGGTTTCCTCCAGGTGCTCTGACATGTTCTCCCTGTGTCAGCGTGGGTTTCCTCCAGGTGCTCTGACATGTTCTCCCTGTGTCAGCGTGGGTTTCCTCCAGGTGCTCTGACATGTTCTCCCTGTGTCAGCGTGGGTTTCCTCCAGGTGCTCTGACATGTTCTCCCTGTGTCAGCGTGGGTTTCCTCCAGGTGCTCTGACATGTTCTCCCTGTGTCAGCGTGGGTTTCCTCCAGGTGCTCTGACATGTTCTCCCTGTGTCAGCGTGGGTTTCCTCCAGGTGCTCTGACATGTTCTCCCTGTGTCAGCGTGGGTTTCCTCCAGGTGCTCTGACATGTTCTCCCTGTGTCAGCGTGGGTTTCCTCCAGGTGCTCTGACATGTTCTCCCTGTGTCAGCGTGGGTTTCCTCCAGGTGCTCTGACATGTTCTCCCTGTGTCAGCGTGGGTTTCCTCCAGGTGCTCTGACATGTTCTCCCTGTGTCAGCGTGGGTTTCCTCCAGGTGCTCTGACATGTTCTCCCTGTGTCAGCGTGGGTTTCCTCCAGGTGCTCTGACATGTTCTCCCTGTGTCAGCGTGGGTTTCCTCCAGGTGCTCTGACATGTTCTCCCTGTGTCAGCGTGGGTTTCCTCCAGGTGCTCTGACATGTTCTCCCTGTGTCAGCGTGGGTTTCCTCCAGGTGCTCTGACATGTTCTCCCTGTGTCAGCGTGGGTTTCCTCCAGGTGCTCTGACATGTTCTCCCTGTGTCAGCGTGGGTTTCCTCCAGGTGCTCTGACATGTTCTCCCTGTGTCAGCGTGGGTTTCCTCCAGGTGCTCTGACATGTTCTCCCTGTGTCAGCGTGGGTTTCCTCCAGGTGCTCTGACATGTTCTCCCTGTGTCAGCGTGGGTTTCCTCCAGGTGCTCTGACATGTTCTCCCTGTGTCAGCGTGGGTTTCCTCCAGGTGCTCTGACATGTTCTCCCTGTGTCAGCGTGGGTTTCCTCCAGGTGCTCTGACATGTTCTCCCTGTGTCAGCGTGGGTTTCCTCCAGGTGCTCTGACATGTTCTCCCTGTGTCAGCGTGGGTTTCCTCCAGGTGCTCTGACATGTTCTCCCTGTGTCAGCGTGGGTTTCCTCCAGGTGCTCTGACATGTTCTCCCTGTGTCAGCGTGGGTTTCCTCCAGGTGCTCTGACATGTTCTCCCTGTGTCAGCGTGGGTTTCCTCCAGGTGCTCTGACATGTTCTCCCTGTGTCAGCGTGGGTTTCCTCCAGGTGCTCTGACATGTTCTCCCCGTCTCAGCGTGGGTTTCCTCCAGGTGCTCTGACATGTTGTCCCTGTGTCAGCGTGGGTTTCCTCCAGGTGCTCTGACATGTTCTCCTTGTGTCAGCATGTCCGCCTCTCACCCAGTGTCAGCTGGGATAGGCTCCACCCCCCACACAACCCCTGACAGGACAAGTGGTTACAGAAAATGAATGAATAAATGATCCTGATCTTTGAATTGCTGCCTCGCTGTAATGATCAACAGCTGATTGATTGATCGATTGATTGATTGATTGATTGACTGTCTCCTCAGAACTCGCCCAGTTGTTCATCTCAATAAAACCATCAGAGCTTCTCCAGACGTCATTGACCCGAACAGCTGTGACTTCTGGTGAGATTCAAACCTGCTAACATGCTAACAGCTAACATGCTAACAGCTAACATGCTGACTCACTCTGTGTGTGTGTGTGTGTGTGTGTGTGTGTGTGTGTGTGTGTGTGTCAGTGTTCAAGTGGAGGTGTGTTTCTCCTACATGTTCAGCACCGGAGAGAAGAGCGACAGAGACAACATCAGTGAGTCAAAAAATATTTATGATGCAAAATAACATGACCTCATGATGATGAACCGTTCATCTGTCGCCATCATCAGGTCACATGACGTTCAGCATCAGCTGTGTTCACTGAGAATCGGCTAATGTTAGCATGCTAACATGCTAAGCTAAGATCAGTGTTGGAGAATAACTAGTTACATGTAATTTACTGTAGGTCAGTTACAGGCACTGAGAGGAAAAAGTAATTAAATTACAGTTACTGCATCGGAATTAATTCTCTGTATGTAAAAGTTTATGTGTCAGATCTGAGGCTGCGTTCACACTGAGCAATACAGCGACAACATACAGCTCATTTCAAAATGGAAGCCGGCGACATGAAGCTACAAACTGACGCCTGGCACTCGTCACTGCTGACGGACATGACCGTGACAAACCAAAGAGAGCTGACCTCAATCTTTCAGGTTCTAGGTAAGCGACGTCTCCGCTGAAAAATTGCGCCACCTCCAAAGCGCTCTCTGACGCTCCCAACTAGGTATTTCCTGAGGAGCGCCTGCCATTTTCAGCAATCAGAGTCATTTGATCTCCAGCAGAGACTCAGGATATGTGACTGAATTGATCTCCACAGAAACTGACCCCCAACACACTCCCTGCTGATTAGCTCATGTGGCTAACGTGACAGATGGAGGGTTTATGAGGACATGATGCTAACGAGTCTGTTCAATCAGCGTTAACCAGCTTCCTGTGTGTGTGTGTGTGTGTGTGTGTGTGTGTGTGTGTGCTCTCAGCTAATGAAGCTGATTGATTGACAGAACGGAGCTGTCAATTAACATCTGCTGTTAATCAACACACACACACACACAGACAAACACACACACACACACGACAGATGACATCATGTTGTGTCCTTGTGTGTCCTCGTGTCCTTGTCCTGTGTGTGTTTCTGTGAATGATAAATCACATTACAGAAACTGATATTATTACATCTGAGACACACACATACACACACTCAGTATTCCTCAGGGAGCTCTGTGTGTGTGTGTGTGTGTGTGTGTCCTGCTTCTGTCTCATTAATTGAACCAATCAGAGACGAGGTCACACTGTTGCTATGACACCCAGCCTCCACACACACACACACACACACACACACACAAACCCACACTGAGTTTGATATTGAGTTTGTATTTATTTTTCAGTCTGTAACAAAAACACAAAAATAAGAATATGACAGACGGAGCCGCTCATCGCCAACAAGTCACCGACACGTCACTGACATTTCACAGACACGTCGCCGACACGTCACCATGAATAATAAACTCAGAGTCAACTCACCGACATGAAACCAATATGGAGATGGTTATTGTGTATCTGACAGTGTCAATATGTATGAACTGAAACAAACTGACAGCTGTTAAAACATCATCATGTTAATCTGTGTCAGATTATAACGAGCACACTGAGATTAGTTAAACAGACCCTGAGTCTTATTATAAAACACTTCCTGTTGTTGGGTCTAAAATGTATTTTTATGTTTATCAGACAACATCGTGTTGGATCAGACTCTTTAAAACACAAACAACAGAACAGAGTATGTGAGGAGTTCCTCAGGGCTCGACTCTTGGTCCTCTCCTGGTTCATCTCCAGCTGCTCTTAAACAACAGCAGCTGATTTTTACCTTTGTTATTATTATTAATATCATTATGTGTATTTTATTTTATTATGTGCAGTACAGTTTTATCATCATGGGACCACTGAGTCAGTGAATAAATCAACAATTAACAACATGTCCCTTAATTGTTCCTTAATTTTGTTTCTGCTTTTTTCTTTGTACAAATGTTTCTAACTCAACTTTGAGTTTTGAAGTTTCTGCAGAAATAAACTTTTCTTTAACTCGTGTCCTTATATATGAAACATCGACACGTTTTTATTTCATACAGAGACAAATATAAAGTGTCTTGGTCTAACAGCCAATCAGAGAGCTGTGTCCGTCTTTAACCATCTGTCTCTCTGTCTGTCTCACAGCCGTCGACTTTACCGTCACCGCTGACATCACCAGCCTCAAGCCCCGCCTCCGTTTCCTGGACAACGGGCAGAGCGTGTACTCTGGTTACCTGTCGATGCCAAAGAGACAGTGTGAAACCCTGAGAGTTGGACTGCAGGTGAGACGCACGAATATAACAGTCTGATGTACTGCCAGCGCCCCCTACAGGCCGAGGGCGGCGCTGCAGGAGTCTGTAACACGTGGAGGGACACTGAGGCCATCTCAGCTGTTTGAACCAGTGAAAAGGATAAAAACACTCGTTGGATTTTCCTGAAGGGAAAAAACATCGTTTTGAGTTTCAGATGTTTAGCTGTTGAACAGGAAGTTGAGCAGTGAGATAAGAGCGTCGGATTGTTCTGAGCTTTAATCAGTCCACCGCTGACAGACGTCACATCCTGCCAATCGTCCGAGAACAAACCCAGAACATTTTGTTCAACATGAAGCAACCTGTTAACAACATGTGAGAGGAGCGTAAAGTTCACAGTGTTCAGGACTCGTCCTGTCATGTTCTCTCACCTGTTCTTATCAGCATGTTTTTGTTTCTGCCCAAATATCTGTTCTGATGTGTCACGATTCAACCCGTCGCATCAAGCCCGACATCCGTCAGCTGGAGATCCTGTTTACTTCATATACCTGCTACGCGTTCTCCAAAACACATTTCTGCTTCCATGCCGAGTTCTGTTCATTCCGAGGTTTCACCTTATTTAAATCAACACTCTCAGAGAGAACCCATCACTGTTAACTCACCTTTATGTTCTGGTAAAGTGATGTCATCATCCATCACTGTCGGTGTGTTCAAGGACACTCTGGAGTTCTCTGTTGCACTGATGAGCTGTCATCAGAGGATTATAGTTAGAACAGTTCCTTGTGTGAAAAGTGTTCCTGAGGTTCTGTTCTGCGTTTGTGTTCTGCAGGGTCCGATCAGAGACAAAGTGGAACCTCTGGTGTTCTCCCTGAACGTCTCTCTCTACGAAAAGCTTCCCAAGAAAAGACACGCAGTGCAAGACCTGAAACGCCTCCCAGTCCTGAGCCAGACACCCCGACCCATCAGAACCCAGGTCAGAACCCATCAGTCCCAAAGTCAGAACCCAGATCAGAACCCAGGTCAGAACCCATCACAACCAGAATCAGAGCCCAGGTCAGAACCCATCAGAACCCATCAGTCCCAAAGTCAGAACCCAGGTCAGAACCCATCAGAACCCAGGTCATAACCTAGGTCAGAACCCATCACAACCAAAGTCAGAGCCCAGGTCAGAACCCAACAGAACCCAGGTCAGAACCCATTACAACCCAGGTCAGAACCCAACAGAACCCAGGTCAGAACTCATTACAACCCAAGTCAGAACCCAACAGAACCCAGGTCAGAACCCATTACAACCCAGGTCAGAACCCAACAGAACCCAAGTCAGAACCCATCAGTCCCAAAGTCAGAACCCAGGTCAGAATCCATCAGAGCCCAGGTCATAACCTAGGTCAGAACCCATCACAACCAAAGTCAGAGCCCAGGTCAGAACCCAACAGAACTCAGGTCAGAACCCATTACAACCCAGGTCAGAACCCAACAGAACCCAGGTCAGAACCCATTACAACCCAGGTCAGAACCCATCAGAACCAAAGTCAGAACCCAGGTCAAAATAAGATCCAAGCTCACAACTTCATAGATCCCATTTGAACTCCCGTCTGATCCCAACACAGAACCGATCACGACCTGGGTCAGAACCCAAGTCACAAATGATCCAAACCAAAGTCAGAAACAAACAGAAACCACAGATGTTCTTTATCCGTCAGATCCATATCCAGAATGCCTGTGGTTCTGATAACCGTTGCCATAGTAACCTGCAGATGACGGCTCAGTTCACAGATGAGAACCAGAAACCCTTCATCAGGTGAGTGAACTTGTCTTCATCAGACTCCTCAGGTTTTAACTTTAATTTGAAACAAGGACTTGACTTTGGATTTGACTCGGATTGACCCTGCGGGCCCGACTCAGGACTCTAGACTTGACTTTGACTCCTCCTAACGTACATGTTTCTGTGTCTCCAGGCAGAAGGACAGTCAGGTTTTGCACTACGACAGCAGCATCAACCGCCTGTTTCTGGAGGTTAACGTCAGCAACACGCTGTCACCGGGCCGACCAGCGGAGGATGCTCACAACACCGTTTTGAACATTAGCATCCCGGCATCACTCATTTACTCTGGAGTCCGAACCAAGGTAGGGAAGCTGAAGGTCTTTGTCATCCAGCTTTCAGCAGCCAGGAAACAAAACAGACTCGAGACCTGACAAAGACTCGCTCTGACGTATATGGAACTGGACTCAAGACTTGATTTTGCCTCTCTCTAAACAACCTGGGGCTTGACTCTGTACTTTACCCTGAAGGACTTCACTGATTAAGTGTTTGTGAAGCAGGAGGTAAAGCGGGTCGTCCTCTAGTCAGAAGATCAGAGGTTTGATCCTCAGCTCCTTCAATCGGCATGTTGGAGCATCCTCAGAAAAAACACTGAACCCCAAACTGATCCTGGTGGCTGCTCCATCAGTGTGTGACTCAGTCTAAATGTTTTAATGAGAAGTTATTATTTACATTTCAGTGATTGACTTGAGACTTAAAGACCTGGGACTTGAATTGGTACTTAACGCAAGACTTGACCTGGACATACCCTGAAGGACATCACTGATTTAGTGTATGTGGCCTGGGAGGTAGAGCGGCTTGACCACTAATAATATGTTCAGTGGTTCGATCCCTGATCTTGTGATGCCAGCCTCGAACACCAGTGTATGAAAGAGTGAACGAGTGGTCAGAAGACTAGAAAGGTGCTATATGAGTTCAGTTAACCTCAACTGACTGACCTGAGAGTTACACTGAAAGACCTGAGACTTGACTTGGACTGGTTCCTCTACAGCTGTTCCTGTGTTTGTTTGTGTTTCAGGGTGACGTCCAGGCGGTGGTGAAATGTTCTGTTGAGGACGTCGTTCTTCTCTGTGAGCTGGGGAACCCGTTCAAAAGTAACCAGAAGGTACAGAAGGTTCTGGACAGAGTACTGCTGCCGTTGTAGTACTGCTAGTACTCTTATAGGCTGTTCTCCTGCACCGTCTGTATGTTTTTCAATGAAAGGTAATGCACCCAGATTCATACAAATCCCACGTAATCACGAGCCAGTAATTCATTGTTTACCCACTGAATAGAAAGGCTGTGATCATGTGACCAATATGCTGACAGGAGTAAACAATGAAGCAGTCCCATGGTGTTTCTCAAAGTCAAGGATGCTTCCTTGGTAGGACAGGTCCTCATATGCCGGGTCTTACAGAGGCAAGGTCAGACTCCTTCCTAATATTTAGTGAACACACATTGGAACAGGATAGTGAGTGTTCAGGTGTGCATCACTGAAGAGGCCCCGCCTTCAATTTAGGCAAATCATGGGTTCTTCATGCCTGCTGAAGGTACACACATGCATCCTTGAAAATTCTCTGAAGGAAGGACTGTGTTCTTGGTAGAATTCAAAGGATCTTTGACATTGGAACAGTCCTTCGGTGGGATTCGATGACGTAGCCTTCTTGAAATTCAGCTGATTAAGGGTCCTTCCTCGACTTTGAATAGCACCACCTGAGGCAGGTCGGAGCGGTGGATGGGACTTTACTCTGGGACTTTGCCCAGGAGACTGGCGTTCAGAATCATGTGACCTTTGAGTCAGTTTAAGGTTCGTCCTCACAGTGTTTCTTTTCCTAAACCTAACCTCAGTATGCTTTATGTGAAGGAGATAACAACAACTCCTGGGGCGCTTATTCGTAGGATATCATACGAACCGTATGAGGACATGTGGACTCTTGTCTGTACTGCTGCCGATCCTCTGTCTGTCTCTGTGTTTCAGGTTCAGGTGTTGATTATCTTCCAGCCGTCTGAGATCAGTTTAGACACCAGAGAGATTCAGTCTCTGCTGCAGCTGTCCACGTAGGACACACACACACACACACACACACACACACACACACACACACACACACAGACTCAGGTGTTGTGTTGGACAGGTACTGAGTTGTGTCTCCATGTCTTCAGGCTCAGTGAGCAGTCTGATCTGTCTCCTGTCTCCGTCTCCATGTTGGTGGAGTATTCTCTGCAGTCGTCTCTCACTCTGTACGTATCATACAGTGTCAGAGGTTTAAAGTTGACCCCTGACCTCTAAGCTGATGACCTCACCTGTGTCCTGACAGAATCAGCCTGCCAGGCCCCGCATCCTTCAGCGGTCATGTGATGGGTGAGTCGGCCATGAAGAAGACGGAGGACATCGGCAGTCTGCTGCTCTTCACCTTCCAGGTTTGTCTCAATCAGTCTGACTGACAGCATGTCAACTGTCCAGGTGTTGACACACGTCCTGCTCCGACAGGTGCACGTCAGCGGGAAGCCCCTGGGTCACCTAGGCAACCTGCAGGTGGAGATTGATTGGCCGAGGGAGACGTCCAATGGGAAGTGGCTGCTGTACCTCGCAGAGATCCAAGTGAGCGGAACGTCAGAGGCTCGCTGCGACCCGCCCGGCAAAATCGTCAACCCCCTCAACCTCGTGGTAACCATAGCAACATCAGCCTCACACTGATTCCTTTCAAAATAAAAGCAGCTCGAGCAACACATTTCAGAATAAAAGCCCATCAAATCTGCATCTTTAACCACAGCTTCATCAAACTGAATCTGAATCTCTCATCTTCACGTTCAGAGACTTTAAAGCTTCAGAGTGTCGGACTGAACTCTGATCAGTGTGTTTCCTTCAGTTTATTATCAGCTGACCATCAGGACGGTCGTGTTTATATTTTATATCAGCAACAAATCCAACATCATACATCCATGAATAAAACTCCAACATTAAATGAATCCAAAGTGACTTGTGTGTTCAGATGATACAGCATCAACAGAAACACTTCCCCATCATACGTCTGATCCCAACCATCTGTTCTGTTCATGAGTTTCTACTTCCTGTTTCTTCAGCTGTCAGAGGAGAAGAAGAAGAGGAGGAGGAGTCTGAAGGAGGAGGTGCAGGTGAAGGAGGAGGAGCAGAGGGAAAAGACTCTACCTGTCCTCCACCTGCAGGGACAGAAGAAGAAGTCCTACACTCTGGTACAAACACACTCATTTCTGTCAGTGCAGTACTGCAGCCACCCACAAGGGGCGCTCTGACGTGTCAAATAAACTCACCTCAGTAGGTCTGTGTCTCCCAGTAAAAATCTGTGACTGCTGGTGTCCCCGTTGGATGAGACGACCTCCCAAACATCTGACTGTACTTTAACCGCTGTGTTGTCTCCTTTGTGTCTGTCTCTGTGAGGACGTGAGATGAAGGACCTTGTTGTAAAGTCAGGACACTTTTTTAGAGAAAGTGGGGACAGTTTTGAAGTAGGAGGACATTTTTAGAGGACATGTTGTTCTTTAAAAGCCTGAGGTTCAGATTTGGAGAACACGTTAACTGACTGACAGTCCTCTAATGTGTGTGTGTGTGTGTGTGTGTGTGTGTGTGTGTGCAGAACTGTGTGCACGGGGCCAAGTGTGTGACGTTTGTCTGTCCGCTGGTCAACATGAACAACTCAGCGACTCTCACTGTCAGAGCCAGACTGTGGAACTCCACCATGATCGAGGTAAAAAACACATTTTATTCAACTTTAACCAGACGTCTCCGTCTTTTTTTTTTTTTTTTTTCACCTCGTGGAGCTGTTCAGTTTGTAGCAGGTTTCCTGTCTGACTCAGTCTCAGCTGTTTTCTGATGAACCCACCGTCCTCCACCGTCCTCCACCACCTCAGCAGCAAACAGCAGACAGACAGAGACCAGCTGGTTCACACCGCAGTGTTCATTTTACCGATGAAAACTATGAGAATTTTTTATTAACAACCTTTATTCCGTAATGAAAACGAGACGATGACGAGCTAAAAATAGATCTTGATAATAAAAACTAAGATGATATCTATGTTTGATTTTTGTTAATGAGACGTGATGTAAATGTTGGTGGTGGACTGTCAGACACTGACAGCTTGTAATGATCTTCAGATGCCTGATGAGCGACAGGCTACAAACTCCAGTAAATAGTCTGCACCAGGATGTTTCTGTTGTAATTCAGCAGAAAATGATCATCTGTGTGTGTCTGACTGTGGATGGTGGAGCTGCTGAATGGATTTGTGGTGTTTGTTAGTTGCAGCGGTGGCTGTTAGCAGCTAGTTCTGCTCGCAGCTGTCAGAATGAACACTGGGACACAGCGGAGCACTCAGCAGCTACAGACAGATTTTTCCCTCAGGAGTCGGTGGAGGCTAAGAACAGAGCTGACAGAGAAAATATCTGAATGACATTCAAACACAAAGACTCTTCATGAATCATCATGTTGTTCTGTACCTGCACTGCATGTGGAAGTAGTAAGCTGTGTGCTAACTCTGTTAGCCGCTCATGTAACTTTGTTAGTGTTTCTGCCTTTCTGCCCTCTAGTGGTCAAAATTAAAAGACTATATCTGACCTGGTGTTTCAGGACTACAGCGATGCGAGGAACGTGTTGGTTCAAGGCCGGGCGACGCTGAAGCTGCAGACTAACAAACCAACCATCAACATGGAGCCTCACAGTGCAGAGGTACTGAACTGCTAAATGCTGCTAGTGCCCCCCTGAGGCAGCAGTGTTCATTACAGCCACAGTCTGAACCAACAACATGATGAAGGATCACCTCCTACATCCTCACCAGGGGCCTGTATCAGGAAGCAGGATTAATGTCTTAGCGAGGTAACTTCAGGGTTAACTCTGGGTTTTCGGTCTCACGAAGCCGGTTCAGTTCTTATCGGGGTAGATCACCATGGTAACTTACTCTGAACGGCTATCCTGCTCCGGAGCAGGGTAAGTTCAGGGTTGAATCTGATCCTATAAAAAGCACCACCCACTGGCCAATCAGCTGTTGATGGCTGACAGAAATGCAGCCCAGTCATGACGGGAAGTTTAATTTATTTGATTGATTTTGATTTGAAAGTTTATTTTGAACATTAAAAAAGAAAAGAAAGCAACAACAACAGACAATGAAAAGATTGTTCAAAAAGGAGTGGAAAGAAGTGGAACTTTCATCCCACCCCTTCATAAGAAAGAAACTGATCATTTGCTGACACTTAATAGCACCATTAATTAGTGCCAACATTTTGTTTTGTTGGAGGAAATGATCCCTGTTAAAGATAATGGGCCTAATTGACAGCTTTGCTGCTGGAAATGTGGAAAGTAGCCTATCATGTCTACACTTCATGGTGTTTGAGGGATTTTCCTTTTTGTTTTTTAAAGAGGGACACTAGCTATATTTTTGTGCAGCTGTTAATTTCTAACACAGCTCAATATCAGGATGATTTTATTCAGACTATCAATTTGGTGTTGATATGATTTAATTGTGGCGTCAGCTTTAAGCTTTATTGTAGCATATATAACGTTATGACAAAGAAGACCAATTTATCAGACGCAATGATGTTAGACGATAATTGTAATACACGCAGTTCATCTGCGCAGCATTGATTTCATGGGATTCAAGGGTGTGATCAGTGTCAGATGTACAGGTACAGGTACTGTAGCTACTTGAACCAGTGATGAGTCATTTAACCTACACATCATTTTATTTGCTGCCTTGTTTTGTCTTGATTTTTCCCTCTCTCCTCCTCTATTTCTTCTTTCCTCACCCGTTTCTTTTTCTTCTCTATTATGTGATTTCATTGATGTTTTGACAGGGGAATTTCTTTGATAAGCTTTTAGTGGCTTCTAACCTCTCCGGCACTTTTCTTTTTTTAATCTTGTAAATGTTATACTGTCTGTTTTTAACGTTATGTGCAAATAAACTAATCTAAACTAGCAACTCTGGGTTGAGTTACCGAGTTGATATCCAGTGTCGTGATACCGATTATCCTGATTGCCATTGTTAGGGTTAGTCAACCCAGGATAGGTCTGGGTAACCCAGGAAAGGTTGATCTCGCTTTGTGATACAGGCCCCAGGTGTTTGGAGTTTCCTGTGTTACCTCCTGAATCACAGTGTTCTTCCTTTGCAGATCGAAGTCCACATTTATCCAGACCCAGGGCAGCAGGTGGACTCTAGCGCCCCCCTGTGGATTATCGTGGTGTCTGTCCTGGCTGGGGTCGTACTGTTGGCTGTGATTTGCCTTCTGCTGTGGAAGGTAAACTGAGGCTGTCCATCAGAAAACAACAGGAAACTGTACACACAAAGTTTCTGTCTGATCACTGCTCATCATTTCAGGACCTACTTCATCAAAGATGTGGGATTATTTTTGTTTTGCTGTCTCGTCACAATAAAAGCATTAATTTTCAATGTCATCACCTCTTGGTTGGTAAAGTGCCGTTGTGTCGCTCCGTGCTGTTCAGTGTGGTTTCTTCAGGAGAGCCAGCACCAGAGAGATGTACCAGGCAAAGACCCAGAAAGCCCACATGAAGAGCCAGCCATCTGAGAACCAGAGGCTGCACGAGGAGCACTGAGGCTGGGCAGACTACTGCCAGAGAGCCCTGCTGTAAGGACCAGCTGCTGACTGACTGTTTCTGACTGTAGCTGACTGGCTTCTGACAGTTTCTGGCAGGTTTCTGACTTTGTCTGTCTGATTTCGACTGTTTCTGACTTGTTTCTGACAGTTTGTGGCTGGTTTCTGACTGTTACTGAGTGTTCATGACTGTTGATGTCTGGTTTCTGTTACTGACTTGTTACTCACTGTTTTTCACTGTTGCTGACATATTCTCACTGTTTCTGACTAGTTTTTACTGTTTCAGAATCATTTATAACAGTTTCTGACTGCTTCATGACTGTTACTGCCTACTGTATTACTGTTTCTGACTAGTTAATAACTGTATCTTCCTGGTTCATGAATGTTTCTGACTGATAACTTACTGTTTCTGACTTGTTGATGACCTTTACTGACTGGTTGCTGACTGTTTCTGACAGGTGTCTGACTTTCTGACTGGTTTATTGCTGGTTTGTTACTGTTTCTCACAGGTTTATGACATTTTCTGACTGGTTTCTGAATGTTCTGACTGTTGCTGACTGGTTTCTGACTATATTCTTCCCAGCTCTCAGTCAGAGGGGGAGGGGCCTCACTTTCTTCCTTCCTTCCAGCTGTGACTCTTCTGCATCTTATCCATCAGCTGATGAATAACTCTTTTGATCTTTACTGATCTGAGTTTCTGTCGGCCTCTTTTACCATGTCTTTTGTGATGTATTTTTATCTGTGTGAGACACTTTCTGTTGGACGTTCAGGGTTTCTGTGTTTTGTCTGCAGTGTGGTTTCTTCGTGCGTCGGAGGGCGTGGCGGGCCACAGCGCTCCACCAGGGGAGGATTATGGGTAAAGACGAGCAGCAGCAGCGCACAGATGCTGACGGTTTCCTGATCCAAGTTAACGCCACCTCGTCCAGAAACAGGAAGTCGCCCAAACACTGGGTCACCTCCTGGACTGAGACACTCTGAGAACTGAAGGTATCCATAGAAACCAACCTGGACCGGACCAAACTGGACCATCATACCCTGAACCAGATCAAAGCGGACCAAACTGGACCATCACATCCTGAACCAGATCAAAGCGGACCAAACTGGACCATCACACCCTGAACCGGATCAAAGCGGACCAAACTGGACCATCACACCCTGAGCCGGATCAAACTGGACCATCACACTCTGAACCGGATCAAACGGGACCAACAGCTGCTGGACTGCCTGTGTGCTGTCATGTGAAAACCTCTTAACATTCCGTCCAGTCTGTATTAAAATTTCCAGGTTTCCAGCTCAGAGTTTGTGTAATTAAAATTTTTTTTTGTAAACAACAGGACGTGCTTTTCTGTGAATTATTTATCTGTCTTTAGAATTTTTCCTTGTTAATATGTTGTTTTTTTATATCTCTGTGAGAGTTGTGTGTGAACTGCATTTCCCAGCATCCTTCTGGCCTCTAAGTCGGATCCTGTCGCAGATCAACAGAACAACAGTTACCAGGAGTCAGTCAAGTGTTTTAAAGTTATAAACATGTTTCGTCAGTATCGTCTCTGCTGGAAAGCGACAGATTTGATGTCGACTGGAAACAACAGTAAATCTAAATCATAAAAAGACGTAAATACATTGATTTATTAATTATTGGGAAACTGATCAGCAGGAAGTGATCAGGATTTATAGGTAAAGGGCTCAATAATAAAAAGTGGAATGCTCCTTTAACAACCAAACATGGCAACAGAGGTTGGTGTCAACAGGTTTAATGTGTCAGTGTGTCGTGATGATGTGTTAAACTGCTGCCTGTCACGGCTCCTTGTAAACTAAGGAAAATTACTTGCTGAAGGTTTCTGTAAGAAAAAAAAACTTTTTGTTGTGGATTTAATTTCAAAAATCCAAGATAATCAGCCAGCTGTTGAAGTTTGAAGTCGTCTCTTCTACAGAGCTGTTTCTGTGGCCTCTCACTGCCTTTTTATATGATTGTCAAATATGTGACAGCACATGAAAGCAGCATGTGTTTGTGTGTAAAGTCGTCAGTTGTGTTCAGATTGGCTGTGGTTTGTCAACACTGTGGTGAACTGTGTGTGTGTGTGTGTGTCAGTGTGTTTCCTGTATGTTGATGATATTAAAGTATTTTTTCATAATTGACTGGTCTGTGATACTTTCACTCAGGGCCGTAGCCAAGGTTTAGAAATGAGTGATGCTGCAGAAAATGTTCACATTATTTGACTAAAAAAATATTTGCATTTTAACATCAGTTTGGACCACTCCAGCTAGCAGCTACTTTGTAGTAGGCTGTACTTAATCCTGTACAGTGAGGTGATAGTTTATCTATGGCAGACTACTTTGTACTAGTAGCTTTAGTACAACAATAATGGTCTTTTGAGAGAGAGAGAGAGAGAGATTTTCTATTGTAAGGACTCTAGAAACCACAACGAATAAATAGGATATGACACAAACCTGAGGTCATGAACTCTTCAATTAAGTGAATAAAGCGCTGCATAACGTAACAACATTATTAGATGTGGTTTAAGGCTTCAAGCCACTGAATAGCGTTCAGATAGATAGAAGGATGATCTTATTGCCCAGTGTGTTATGTATCAAATACCCACCTCAATCAAATCTAATGTACAACATACAGGTGCATCACCATGTATATAAAAATGGGTTGTACACCACCTAAGTGCTTCTAACTTCATTGGATCATGAAACATCCACCTGCATAACGTTCATAACAATCATGAAGAAGTCATAGTATAGCATCTCGTCCAAAATTGTGAAAAACGTCTTAGTATAGCATGTCGTCCAAAATCAGAAAAAAAAAGTCATAGTATAGCATGTCGTCTAAAATCATCAAAAAGACGTCATAGTATAGCATGTCATCCAAAATTGTGATAAAACGTCATAGTATAGTACGTCATCCAAAATCAGCAAAAAACGTCATATTATAGCATGTCGTCCAAAATCATGTAAAAAAGTCATAGTATAGCATGTCGTCTAAAATCATGAAAAAAACGTCATAGTATAGCATGTCGTCCAAAATCAGGAAAAAAATGTTATGGTATAGTATGTTGTCCAAAATCAGGAAAAAACATCATAGTATAGCATGTCGTCTAAAATCATCAAAAAAGTCATAGTATAGCATGTCGTCCAAAATTGTGATAAAAAGTCATAGTATAGTACGTCATCCAAAATCAGCAAAAAACGTCATAGTATAGCATGTCGTCCAAAATCAGCAAAAAACGTCATAGTATAGCATGTCGTCCAAAATCATCAAAAAGACGTCACAGTATAATATGTTGTCCAAAATTGTGATAAAACGTCATAGTGTAGTATGTCGTCCAAAATCATGTAAAAAAGTCATAGTATAGCATGTCGTCTAAAATCATGAAAAAAAGGTCATAGTATAGCATGTCGTCCAAAATCAGGAAAAAAATGTTATGGTATAGTATGTTGTCCAAAATCTGGAAAAAACATCATAGTATATAGCATGTCGTCTAAAATCATCAAAAAAGTCATACTATAGCATGTCGTCCAAAATCGGGAAAAAAACGTCATAGTATAGCATGTCGTCCAAAATCGGAAAAAAAAGTCATAGTATAGCATGTCGTCCAAAATCAGGGAAAAAAAGTCATAGTATAGCATGTCGTCCAAAATCATGTACAAGAGTCATAGTATAGCATGTCGTCCAAAATCAGGAAAAAACGTCATAGTATAGCATGTCGTTCAAAATCATGAAAAAACGTCACAGTATAGCATGTCGTTCAAAATCATGAAAGAAAGTCATAGTATAGCATGTTGTCCAAAATCATGAAAAAACGTCATAGTATAGCATGTCGTTCAAAATCATGAAAAAACGTCATAGTATAGCATGTCGTTCAAAATCATGAAAAAACGTCATAGTATAGCATGTCGTTCAAAATCATGAAAGAAAGTCATAGTATAGCATGTTGTCCAAAATCATGAAAAAACGTCATAGTATAGCATGTCGTTCAAAATCATGAAAAAACGTCATAGTATAGCATGTCGTTCAAAATCATGAAAAAACGTCATAGTATAGCATGTCGTTCAAAATCATGAAAGAAAGTCATAGTATAGCATGTTGTCCAAAATCATGAAAAAACGTCATAGTACAGCATGTCGTTTAAAATCATGAAAAAACGTCATAGTATAGCATGTCGTCCAAAATCATGAAAGAAAGTCATAGTATAGCATGTTGTCCAAAATCATGAAAAAACGTCATAGTATAGCATGTCGTCCAAAATCATGAAAGAACGTCATAGTATAGCATGTCGTTCAAAATCATGAAAAAACGTCATAGTATAGCATGTCGTCCAAAATCATGAAAAAACGTCATAGTATAGCATGTCGTCCAAAATCATGAAAAAACGTCATAGTATAGCATGTCGTCCAAAATCATGAAAAAACGTCATAGTATAGCATGTCGTCCAAAATCATGAAAAAACGTCATAGTATAGCATGTCGTCCAAAATCATGAAAAAACGTCATAGTATAGCATGTCGTCAAAAATCATGAAATATGTCAAAGTATAGCATGTCATGCAAAATCATGAAAAAACGTCATAGTATAGCATGTCGTCCAAAATCATGAAAAAACGTCATAGTATAGCATGTCGTTCAAAATCATGAAAGAAAGTCATAGTATAGCATGTTGTCCAAAATCATGAAAAAACGTCATAGTACAGCATGTCGTTTAAAATCATGAAAAAACGTCATAGTATAGCATGTCGTCCAAAATCATGAAAGAAAGTCATAGTATAGCATGTTGTCCAAAATCATGAAAAAACGTCATAGTATAGCATGTCGTCCAAAATCATGAAAGTCATAGTATAGCATGTCGTCCAAAATCAGGGAAAAAAACGTCATAGTATAGCATGTCGTCCAAAATCGTGAAAAAACATCATACTATAGCATGTTGTCCAAAATCATGAAAAAACCTCATAGTATAGCATGTCGTCCAAAATCATGAAAAAAAACCACATAGTATAGCATGTCGTCCAAAATCAGGAAAAAAAACCTCATAGTATAGCATTTCAGAAAAAATGAGAGTGTAGTATTTTTAGATAGATAGTACTTTATTGATCCCAAACTAGGACATTTTTGTGTTACAGCAGCAATGAATCAAACATTATGTGGACAGCATTATACATGTAAATACTGGAAGGTAAAACAGATCAAAAATAATTAGCACTAAAATTTAAAATGTACAAGAGAAAAATACAGAAGTGAAATAAAAACGTCAAAATTGCAGGTGTAAGAAAAGATCAATTATAAAGTCATCACAGTGAGAAGTGAGGTAGAGGTTGTAAAACATGTTCAAAATAACAAGTGTGAGATAAGTTCTGACCAGCAGTGCAAACAATGGTTGGAATGTAAGTATTAAGCTATACAAGCTCCATGTTGAAGAAAATCATCATAATATAGTGTTGGGAAAAAAATCACAAGTCATTTTTTATGTTGAAAAAATGTGTCAACGGTGAGAGGGTTAGGGTTATAAAAATAATTACACTCAGTGTAGTGTTGTTATGTCTCAGTTATTATAAAGTGAAACGTAATAAATCACAGAAAGAAATAGAAACAGCCTCTCAGTGATGCTCATGTGGCGTCTCATGTCATTACTGACACAGTTCAGACTTCAGTAGGACATCTTCAGTCTCACACAGCAGAGACCTGAGCAGGAACAACCAATCAGAGCACAGACTTACTTCTATTCACTTTATTTCAAACAGGAAACTGACGGGTAACAGACATAAAACTCATTTTATAAATATATTAAACATCAACATGAAACTGTCCTCTGTGTCTGTCCCAGTGTCCTGAGTCTGTGCCAATGTCCTCTGTGTCTGTCCCAATGTCCTGTGTCTGTCCCAATGTCCTCTCTGTCTGTCCCAATGTCCTGTGTCTGTCCCAATGTCCT